ATTTCCAGTAACTCATCCTTTGAATCTCATATTCTGTTTCCAAATCTATTGTTATAAAAAACCTTGAAAGCAATAATAAATATGATAGCATTGTCATATGTTATTGAGTCAATTTACTTACATGGTCTGCACTTTTATACCTGCAATGTGATAACTTGCGAGAGTAGGGAAGTCAGAGTATCGTTCCAGGGAGATGTTAATCAAGTTTTCAGCTGCTGTTTAAATCCATTCCCAGGCTTATTTTCATGTACAGATGCAATCAATCTCTACACAGGATACAGGCCAAAGAATTGTTAGTTGACATGCTGCTGCTGGCTGTTTTTATGACATGATTAAACATAATATTCAGGGTGGAAGATGAATTCTTATAGCAGCAGGAAGTTAGCATCCACTTGCTTACCTGTGGAGTCTTTTTAACTTTTAGAAACAAATCACAATAAGCCTCCATATTATATTAGAATACTTTTTTTAAAAAACTCTAAATTAGAAAAAGCAAAAGGAAGGTGGGCTGTAAGTTTTTGGCACATATTGTCAAAGTCTATAGAAATCTCATGTTTTGCTGCAAGGGAAACTAGAAGGACTGGGGAGCTTTCTTGGTGCATTTTGTTTCCCTTATGTTCCTGTATGTTTTATGACAAATAATCAACCGAAAAATTCCCTCATACTTGCTATTGGCACTGGATGCTAAACCTTATCAAAAACCTGCGATAGATAAAATATAATTTAAAGATTCAAAAGACACGTTTGCTGTCAATGGTTTAACACCGCCCTCTGCTGTTAGTGCAGATCATAACCAAAAGTTTAAGAAAAGGTGTTTTTTGGTTGGTTGGTTGGTTTTTTTTTTTTGTAATTAAACCAATGGTTATAGCCTGAAGAAAAAACACAGTTGAGAAGTTGAGACTTGGTGGGTGCAAGTGATCCCTCTGGTCTAGCATAAAAGCTAGGAAAAGGAAAAAAGGAACATTCTTTCTCAGGATGGGAGAAATGTTTGTCTTCTGAAAGTGCTGTGTTTTTTTCCAGACTGTATCAATAGAATTAATAAAAGATATCTGCCCTGCCTACCTGAATAATTGAAAGCATGCTCAGATCACGTATTGCAAACTGTTCCTGATCAAGCTCTGCTCTATAGCTTTCAGAGAGGGATTCTGGGATCTTCTGGAAAGCTCACCTAAGAGCTCTGCCATATGCTTAGGCATAATGTGACATTCGAGATATAGGAAGGAAACACTAGAAATTTCCCCAGACACGCATAATTTAACTTATAAATACTCCACAGACTTCATCTCTTATTTTAAAAGTATTTTCTTCATGTACATATTGTGTTTCAAAAATACATACTGTTTTCATCACATGAAGGAGAACAAAAGATACAGACTACGTGAAGCACTTGACACTTTGAGGCCAGAAGTGACTCTTAATATTTTCTGATTTGGCTTCATGCATAATATGAGCCAAGCACACTTGTGTAATAATTTCTACATCAATCTAACGATTTCTCTTTACACTGCTGTACATGAACTAGCTCTTCTTAATTTAAAAATTTAATTTGGTGAAAAACCTGTATTCCAATAGTCATTTACCCTCACTGCATGAGTATATGTCTTATTTGTATTTAGTCCCAGGGTTTCCTGTCAGAATTGACAATGAATCTAGTTTCTAGGTAAACTGAGTGTCTATTTTCTCTTCGGTGTTAACCTTCCTTTGCTTTAAAGTCTTAGAATTCCTCTACAGTTTGAGAAAATCCACCATAGAACAGTAACTGGAATCTTGCTCACCTGGAGCAGAAAACCTTTGATATGTCTATTTTCTTGTCTACATTATATAGCTTAAATGTTTTGTCGGGAGAAGTCCTCATTTTACTTTCCTAATTCCCAAAGCACTTAATTTTAAGGTTGGGCAAGGCCATTAAAAACTCAAGTTTCCTGGAGAGTTACAAGATCTGGTGAATGATTATTACTTTGTCAAATTTAGATGATAACTTTTAGAATATTTGGTTGTGTCAATCTGTTGGATAGGAATGCTAATGTCCACATCAGAAGTGATGTTGTTAGAGAGTAGTTTGACTGGGATGATATATAGCAAGCTTCATTTGCTACCACAGGAAAAAAAAAATAGAGGAAAAAAAACAACAAAGGGCTAAGGGCTAAGGGCTAATGCCCTACAGGAGAGAGGCAGTGGCATTTAGTTTGGGCAGGTATGTTCATGATGTCCCTGAAAAAGCAGCTATTTCTCCTGCTGTGTCACTTACCCTGTCACTTAGAGCTACAGCTTTTTACCGAATTAGATTTATGACAATGCATCTATTGATTGAAATTAAATATTACACAACATTTCAACAGAAATACTGTGTTTAAGTAGACCACTAAAAAGCATCCTACCAGGAGAATCCTAGAAATCACATATTGTCGTTATTTTACATGGCCTTTTTTCCAGCCTCCGTTACATTTTACTTTGCATGCACTTTCAGCCACTTCTGAAGCAGAGTCGGATTTGCATCTCCCCTTTGTTACTTATTAGGACCATTTTCTTTGTACTCTGTTTTCCTCATTCTGTCTCATTGCTATGATTTTGCTCATGGTCTTCAAAAACACTCCAAATATTCCAAATTTCCAAATATATATTTTCTTATTCATCATGCATTAGAAACTTACTAACAATTTTCATCTTACTATGACAACACTGCTGGAGCTGTACAGGAGGTTGTAAAAATAAGATATTAAAAAAGATAAATACAGCCTCTCCCCAAGCCAAATTCTACTCTAAGTAATATTGACAAATCCATAATAATTCTGCTGAAATGCCATTTTCTTCACTTTTTTTGCTCTGACAAAACAGAAAGAATTTAGTCTCTCCCTTCTAAATAATACTGGGAACTTTGACAATACCTTCAACAGGGCTAGAATTTAACCCCTTTCAGTTTTTATTTTCTTCATACTATGTCAATTCTGCCTCTGACATGAAATTCACATGATTTATTCCCTAATGAATCCAGTCATCCACTCTAACACTAATTTTATTCTTTACATTTCTTTGAAACAAATGCAAAAAAAGACAAAATATCTAAGAAAATGATTTCATGATATTCATAATGAATCACAAAATATTTAGCACAAGAACAATGTAGAATATTCCATCAATCCAATCTACTACAGCAACAGCACAGTACATCTTGTAGCCTTCATTTGCAAGAGGTACAGCTCTTGGTACAGCTGGTTAGAGCTCTTCTTATCTTATACCAAATTAATTCTAATATAATGTCTGAAGTCTGTTATATTAAGACTAATATTCCTAATTAGAATAAAAGCGTTAAAATTCCTAAAATCAATATTAGAAAAATAAAAAAGATACTTGTATTTTTTAATAACTTTTGAATTATTTGCAGTATTCGATACCGAAATATACTTTCTAAACTTCAGTTTAATTGAATACATTCATTCTCACAACAAAACTGAAAACAAATGCTTTTCTTACACACTATTTTATTAACATATGCAGAACACTAAATCATTTATTGTCTTTTCAAAGATCTGATCTCTGCATGGGGTTCATCTTATGGCTTCAGTACAGCTCTGTGTAGTAATGATTTTATCATGGTAATGTTTTTTTTATTAACCTGTTTCTGTTCCTAAGTAATTAGAAAAATGGACTGGCATATCTGTAGCACATTACATCCTTGTAGAAAAGATTATGGCTACCACAAACACCCCTGAATTCAGGCCCGGATGGGCAGGGGAGGGAGCTGGACAGGCAGGGGCAGAGGCCAGGGCAGGCCTATAATCTGGTGCTGCTGTGAAACCAGAGGACAGGGCCTCATGGTGGACAGGGGACAG